TGTATATGTATACGTGTATATATATATACATATATACACATAAAAGATTATGCAAGATGTGGTGCCATCACTGTGATTCATAACCTTCTGACTAATCACTCTTTGTGCTCTTCGTGAAGCTAAACTCCAGTTTGACATTGAGAAAGACATCTCTTGACATCTCATTTTCTGTACAAATGACAGCGGTGAGCTCTTACTGCTGTGTGATGACTGTATCAGACTGTTATTCAACCCACAGAAACCCTCCCCCTCTGCATACACCTGGCATTGAGCAGTTCAACAGGTGATGCAGAACGATGAATAGTCTCAGAGAAATAAACACAGCTCCCACCTCAAGCTTTTGGCTGAAAAAGCTGAAAAGTGTTTTTCAATGTCAGGGTTGCTTTCAGCTTAAAAAGCACATATTTAAGAAAGGAAGTATTGGAGTTGCATAACACGTATGACACATATTCATACTTTAATACCGGTGTGGAGTGAAAATGAGCTCTGCATCACTTCAGTTGTTTTTCTGCGTCTTTAAAAAAAAAACAATCCACCTTAAACATTCTGTTAAAATGATCTGTAACTTCGTCTCTCTTTAAAGTCTGGAGGCTGTTAACATTCTTTGACACTGCACAATGACAAGAAAGCCTGACGGAAACAGTTTGTTCTTTATTATTTGCGTGGCTTGTGTTTCTAAAGATCAGCAATTGTGTTATCCTGACCCCAGCTTCAACAACATCCTATTTGAACAGGAAACGTATCTCACTGAAGACGTAACGAAACCATTTCTATGGCCTCTAATCTCCCTCTCTCACTGGGTGGGAGTGTTAAGTGTTGATACGTCTCTATGAAGAGAAGCAGCACTAGAGATAAAGACAAGTGTGTTTGTTTGTGTGACTTTGGGCTCAGTAGCGCACAAACACACATACACCAAATAGTCTTTCATACTTTATCACATTCACAGAGCCTGGATTTTCAGAATAGTCTGTCCAACTGAAAGTATATTTTATGTTTTTTTCTGCTACAGAATACACTCTTAATAATGTCCTGGACTCAGTAGGAAGAAATTCATTATGGTTGTTTCATGATGTTTCCCTGTCTGTGCTTACAGTTACGTAGATATATAGAAATCCAAACAGCCTATGAAATCGTTTCATTTCAAACATATTTGCATAAAGCAGTTGTATCACACATCTCATGTTCAATGCAGTTTTTAAGAATGTCCCATGAATGTGTTCAGCGCTAATTAGCGTGAATCTTAGCATGCTATCTAGCGAAACTAAGAACACGGAAAACACTGTACCTGGTTAACATCCGCATGTTAGCATAGTCACTGCTAGCTAGTTAAGATGTTAATGTTATCTTTTAGCTCAAAGTGCCAAAACAGCCTTACAGAGCTACCTGCATAACTGTTAGCATGTATACACACACACACACACACACACACAGACGCACAGCACAAATGTAATACTTTACTTTGCTATTATTATTATTATTATGTAGGAGGACAACAAAAATCAACTTCATGGAGAGAGAGAGAGAGAGAGACAGACAGAGAGAGAGAGAGAGAGAGAGGACAGAGACACAGAGAGAGTGTGCACATCTTGGTTAAATTACATAGAAAGAAAGCTTAGGGGTACCAAACCGCTCCATGGATCTGTTCTCCAGCACAACCTGAACTAAAACCTAACAAAGCCAGTGGAAACAGAAAATCATTTCCAGCATCATTTCCTTCTGTTCTTTCATGAGAAATGTGTTGTTAGTTTTGAGAAAGACTCGCGCTGACAGAGGTAGAAGCGACCAGTCGTCTTGAACCGTCGTCTTTGCGTTTTCGGACTGTTCGTGGCATAGAATTTGCAATAATAAGTATAAGGCAGACACATCCTGGTGTGTAAATTTACAGCCTGCAACATGTTATTACCAAACCATTTACACATTGGTATGTCGTTACTGCAGCTCCTGCAAGGAAATTGACCAAAGAAATTGGACGTTTCTGGGTTCCCCAAACATCTTCCTTTTCATGCCAATTTACTTGCACGAAATGGACTCAGAATGATGATGATGATGATGCTGATGTTGTTATGCTTACCGCCAAAAACTTTAGGCTTGAAAATAACTCTCAATAATTTTTTCCCACCTCTCTCTCTCTCTCTCTCTCTCTCTAGATGCCAGGCCTTTTGTCCAGTCCTGTGTGTCTGACAGTCATCTGGTTTCTATCGTGGTCGCTGCGCCCCGGTCGAGCTCAGCTTCGGACTGATGAAGGTAACTCGTCTGCATGCTCACCGAGCAGAGAGACATTTTTCCCGAGGACGTATTTAAGACACACGTACAAACACACATTTCTGTTAAGGATCAGCCGCGGATTCCTTTGTGAACTATTTTGGGCGCTCTTGACTTATCTCAACTCAAAGTGCTCGTGGGATCTAAAGCTTCTGCAGTAGAAAGGAGGGAGCAAATCCAAAGCAGAGTCCGAGCAGAATCCTGATCAGAGTACTTTTTGTTTTTGTTGAAACACATCAGTGTTCAATGTAATGGTTCCCCCCTTGTCTGATTTTTGATGTGCAACTTCATTTTTTTATAGCTGAATTTGAATTCATGTATTTTTTTTTATTATCTCTCTGCAAACAAGAAATCCATTGTTGAAGCCTTCTTCTTTTGTTCCCCCCCCCCCCCCCTACTCACACAGCACTTGAAGGATCTGTCTGACATTAAGAAACTCTCTTCTTTCTTTGAAAGACTGTCCCCCCATCGTTGTTTCGGTCTCCCTCTCTCTATTGCTGTATCTCTTTCTGAAGCCAGCCAAATGAACTGCTCCAACAATAAGAGCACTCGCCCTTGGCCCTTCAGGTGAAACTGTCAAAGTTTTCCCCTCCCATTAATTTTACCCTGCGGCAGCTCCAGAGTTTCTTTTTTTTGTGGTTTGGAAAGTACTGAGTTTCACACAGCTTGCAATTTTCTGTGTCCACCCTGCCATCTGATTTCAATGTCAGGAGAAACTTGCAGTCTTCCTGTGTGTGTGTGTGTGTGTGTGTGTGTGTGTGTGTGTGTGTGTGTGTGTGTGTGTGTGTGTGTG